ATTTTCAATTGTTGGAAGATTTGGAGTTCGAAAGCTTGAACGGCATGAAAGTTCGAGAGCTTGACAGTTCAAGGATTTGGAACTTTCAACGGCTTGAGCTTGAATCCCGTCGAGTTCGTCGTAAGTTTGACAGTCCCCCAACTTTCGAGTTCGAAGGCTTGAGAGCTCGAAAGATTGAATGCTCGAGTTTGAACAGTTTCTAGTTTCTAATTTTGAAGGTCGCAGCTAGCTCCATATCTTAAGCTCGCCCGCTTCCAGCTTAAACCTAGCCCCTCGTTGAACGGTGGCGACGGATCTCATGGCGGTTGATTTCCTCTGTCAAATCGCCCTTTCATTAGGTGACCCCATTTTAAGCGCGGCCCCTGATGTCATATCGTATCCCGTACCCCATTCGGCGATGGAGGTTGATCTTATGCCTTTCCATATTTCAAACCCGTCCCTGCACTAGGCGATGGCGGTTGAGTGCATATATTGAACTCGCCCCCTCACGAGACGATGGCGATTCAGTTCATATCTCAAATCCGACTGCTGGATAAACGATGGCTCTTGATCTCAAACCTTGAACTCGGCCCTCAGTAGGCGCTGCGATGGCGGTTGATTTCCCCTGATTAGGGAACTGCGATTGATCCCATATCTTAAACCAACCGCTCACTTGGCGATGGCAGTTGTCTTAAACCTGCCCCCTCAGCATTCGATCGGTTGATCCCGTATCTTGAACTCGCCCCCTCATGTCATTAGGCCTTGGCAATTGACTCAACATGTCAAACTTGCATCGGCTGTGGAATTAAGATGCATGTACTCTGGCTTCATGGTGGTGCTATTCTTGCAACCTGAACTCCAAGCTAACTCCCGTTTAATTATTTGTTATCGTGTGGGGTAGACTGAGCTTCTCATCAGATCTTGCTACACCTTTATTTGTTATTGAGTGGCGTGAAGGTGATTGCAGCTTCAGGGAGTAGTCGAGTTGGCGTAGTTAGACACAGAGACCTCGTCTGGCGGAGTGCGAGAACGTAACCAACATACTCAAGACATAGCAAAAAACGCCGGATGGTACATACACAAAACCTCAAAATGCGCACTTTCCTGAAACTTGTCAACCTTTCAAACCTTCATCAAAGCTTTCATGCTCCGAACTTTCGAGCTCTGAGAATTTGAGGTGTTCGAACTCTCAAGCTCCGTGTCTGTCAAACTCTCAAACTTTCGATATGTGACGCATTCAAACTGTGAACCTTCGAACTCTAAACTTTCGAACTTTCAAGCCGACGTCTCAAGCTCTAGAACTTTCAACTCTCAACCGCGTGCCTTCTTCCTTTCAAATCTAGTCGTTCACGCTTTGAGACTCGAGCCTGGAAGGCGCACGTGGACACCTGCGTCCATCTCACGTCCGTCGGACGGCACACGTCACCACGGCTTCAGTGAGCCACAACCTCGATTTCTGTTCAAAGGTTCAAGCTCCAAACTCGCGCCTGTATTCAATCTCGAAACCCTCGTCTTACATTTGATGCCTTCAAACTTTCAAGGTTCGAGATCGAAAAACGCCTTTCTCCCTATCGAGTGTAGACCGATTCAGGATCTGACCCCTTATTTCAGGCACAGAAGTCAGGAATTGCACGGACCAATTCAGGCCCAGCGGATCGGAACAGACACGACCAAATTCAGGAAACGGCCCCAATTCATGAACCACGAGGGCCGAATTCAGGAATCGTGCCTGTCCGGCTGCTGGGTCGGGCCTCGGGATTCGGACTTGGCGTTTCGGCTTTAGGGTTTCAGCCTTCAGATTTCGGCCTTAGGGCTTCGGCCTCGTTTCGGCTTCGCGGTTTCGTCCTGTAGAGCTCAGGGTTTCGGGCTCCCGGCCTTAGGGTGTCTCCTTTCGTCTTTAGGGCTTCGGCCTTACGATTTCGGCCTGAGGGTTTCGGCCTGAGTTTCGACTTCAAGGTTCTCGAGTTGGGTCGTTCCAGTTCCGGAATTGGACCAGGCAGTCCACGAATTAAGTTCCAGGATTTCGTTTTTCCTGAATTCCGGTCCAGAATTGACTACGCGGTTTCTGAGTTTGCAATGTCTAGCCTTGCCAGCCAGTGCTGCGTGATGCATATTCGCCACTAAAGTCTTTCTCGAAGTCTGAAATCCAACTGAATGAGGCAGACACTCGGGACTGTCATGCAGCAGCCAAAACCTGAACTAGGCCTGAGCCGCAACTCCGATTCCTTATGCAGTGAAGATAGGATGACTAGCAGTGTCCGGCGCGTGTGGAAGCAGTTTTCGCCTTCGTCGCCATCTCAACCGACCAATCCGGAGAACGAAAAAACCCCAGGAAGCGGGATCAACACATAAGTACCACCTTCGACCGAGACGCCGGATCAGAAGCAACACAGAGGCAAGCCGGGGTCCCCATCCTCCCAGCGTCTGAGAGGATCAGTAAAGCAGTCTGCCTACTTTGCCTTCCGCTTCCACTTTGGATCTTTGGCTTTCGGCTCCTTCATCATCGCCGTGGTGCAGTTTGTTCGGTACATTTTGCTCTTTGTCAAGAAACCAAGCAGACACCTCCATTAGACCACCAAAAAGCTTTAGCTGTCACTTGGTCTGGAGGCTGTATCTTGAGAAGCAGGCGCAGGCGCAAAAGAATCGGGAGCCTTGACTTGGTTCGAAATAGACAGCACGAGAGATGCACAAGGCTTGGGCTTCGAATCATAGGACGTCCACTTGATTGTTCCACGCGCTTTTCCACTTGTGCGCCAGGTGGTGTTTCTTAGGAAGGCCCTCGATCATGCCACCGGGGTCTACATGAATGGAAGCTGACGGGAGGTAGTGTGTTCGGTTCATCTCATGTCCGTTGGTTGCCGCTCGGCGGCATCTGTGGCACGCCCGTCACTGCCTGAGGTGATGGCCCTGCTTTTGCGAGTCCTGCGCTGCTGTATGTGGTGTCTGGAAAAGTTCCTCAAGTTCTTGAATAAGAGGCTTGTCAGCGATTTGCTTTGCCTTCTTCGGGGTTCTGCTTTCTGTTGCCGGTGCTTTTGGCTGCCCATGGTAAACATCCGTAGAGCGAACCGAGTCTTGGCGGCAACTGTTCTTTCAAGACTCTTTTCACAGGAAAGAACCGCCGTCAGCATGTCAGGAGTCTGGCCCCCCCTCATGTAGTTCCAATGTCAGCCGGTCAGGCTGAGCATTCTGCATGTCAGCCGCTTGAAAACTAAGAAATGCATACATTCAGATGGCGATTCTCGGTAGCAACTTCTGCACGTCTGCGAAGAAGGTGGGAAACACCAGCTCAGCCCCGTGTGTTTACATCGACATGCTACTCGCCCCGAAACAGGCTTTCTTCCTGATCTTGAACAATGCTTTGCGATTTGGAGCTGTTGCCCTTCTGGGTATGGTGATAAATGTCATTGGGCACCGCGCCTGTACAGTACACATGCCAGGCCCTGTGCTGAGCAACACTGAGCAAGCAAAGCAGTTGCAGTCTTGCCGAGGTATATCTTCATCATTGCCTCCACAGTGCCCAGACCAACAATGCAAGCCATAGGCAGCATGCACGATTTGAACGTAACTTGATCACTCCGAGGTTGCAGTGGGATATTTGCAGCTGACAGCCATGCATCCAAACACCTCTCCGGTGATACCCGTTGCAACTTGCCTACTGAACGCCTTATTGCCTAGACGAGTTACTTGCGGATGTTGGTGGTATTGGTGGCTCCATGAGCCGAGCTCAATAAGCCGCATCCGACCCTGCCCTAGGCCATGTATGTGGCTTGCGGTTACGTTGTCGCCCGGCTGTGCATGAATGTCTTCGAGCTTGCCGTGGACACGATGCTACAGTTGCTCGACACAGATGCAGTTGTTTAGCCACCGCCTTCTCAGACTAGCCGAAGCTGTTGCCCTAGCGGCCCAAGCCGCCCAAGCCGCTCAGGTGCTTCTTAGTATGCGAGGAGGAGAAAGAGAAGATCACCGGCCACTGATCCGAGCTGGTTTTGAGTGTGTGTTTGAGCGTTCCTGCCCTTTTGCGAAGCTTCGCAGGTGATTTCGTTCCGAGTCAGATGCTCGAATGGCTTTCAGACACTGGGAAGGGAGAGGACAAAGAAATGGACAAGGAGTGAGATATGAGACTGTATGTAGGTTAATGCTTCGGGCATGGCATGGATTCCTCAAGGGTCGTCTTTGCCAGCCTTGACATCAGGCACCGGCTACCGTAGGTTCTTGTGAGTTGCACAGGAATAAGCCCAGATTCCGCAACACAAGCTGCTGAGTGCCAATCAATTTTTACTGCGAGGGGAGCCCTTTTCATTCATCAAGTGTTGTGGAAGCAGTGCTTCGGAAATTTAGCTCGGCTGGAAGCTACCTGAGGGCTGCCGGCATTTGTTGTTTACTCTTCCGCTCGGGTTGCGGAGAGTCCGCTGTGAAGCCCTCGAACGAGGGTCAGCCTCTCCAGTGGTGGGCAGGGCTGCCACGCGCACCCATTTTCAGGGAGCCCTGGGGGTGGGGTTCGCTATGAGGAGCTGAAAGCTCCCGGTGCCACCCCGGAAACGATGGCAGCGTCAGGAACATAAGCTGAACACGCTCTTAATTCTTTGTTCGTCGGGCATTTGGACTTGACCTCCCAGTGGTACGGCCTCTTGAGGCCCATGCGGAGAGTGCAAATCTGCCGCATTGGAGGCGCGCTCGTTTTCAGCTTTCCGTTGTTGACAGTCGTGCTGTCTGAACGAAAGTAGCGTTGGTTCATACTCCGTCACTTTCTCATGTGCACAGAATCTCTGATGGAGAATTGCCTGTTCTCTGCGGCAATTTCATGCACCTGCTGCGTCACGGGTCAGCGGCATATGACCGTCATGGCATGCATGCACGTGGTTTGATGTTGGCTCAAGAGGCCGAACCTGTTTCACCAGCACAGAAAAATAACAGAAAGTGACTTGAGACAAACAAGCCCCCCGCAGTCAAGACGTCCAGTTCGTTTCTAGATTCTAGATCCACCCTACGCGGCTGGAATTGGCAGCCAGCTCTACCAGAACATGGCATCTCGGGCAAAACAGGCAGTACATGGCCAGCCTTGTAGTTGACGCTTGCTGCAGGTATCTTCCTTGGCCGTGGCCAGCACTGCCGCCAGCATCGTCCTCTCCACACACTTTTGGTGGATCTTACGCAAGCGGGGCTCGGACTATTCGGATGCCTTCAGCTTTCTGACACAACCGCGCCCCTCAGACTGCACATCCTCTCATGTAAGTCTCACGTAATCCTCCTGCAAAGTGGTGAAGGCCTCACGACATGCTCTGCAGGAGATGTCGCCACCAAATCGGCGCGCCTCTACGCTCAGAAGGCTCTCGCAGTGTGCGGATGCCTTGCGATGGCAGCGTGCGAAAGATGCAGCTCTTGCTGGGACGCGTGTCCTGCAGGCCCGCATCAGGCTTTTCAACATTGTGAGCAGAATTTGCATCCAGCCCGGCCCTCAGGGAGGCGAGTGCTTCGGTGGTTGGCGCGTTGTTCATGCGCCCGTGTCTGGTTCACACGGTGAGTACTGTTGCTGGGTCCATTGTGCTACCAAGTACCCTCTGGCTTCTTGACGCACCTAGTTGCAACGAGAGATCACGAAGGCGGGAGGTCAGGGACAGGATCTCAGAGAGTCGTAGAACTCCTTGTCCAGCGCTCTTCGAGCCAGTCGGAAAACGTCGCTTCTTGAAGCCGCGAGTCGATGAAACTTCGGTGGAGACATGGACGGCAGCCCTGCAGAACGAAACCTCTCGTGATGCTGGCACACTTATTTTGCATCACTTTAGAGCTTACGATGAGACTAACAGAAATAGAGTGATGCAGAGGCACAACAAGTGCGGGGCTAGTTTAGTTTGGGGGGTTCCTGTTGCATCCTGGGGCTTGCCGCTCCGTAGCCGGTGCTTGTAGCAGACCAAGTTGGCCAGTGTGCGCTTGCGTGCAGAGGGGTGGCCGGACTGCTCCTCTTTTCTGTGTCGCAGGGTGACAAGTGCCTGCTTCGGAGCTTGCGGTGTAGGAGTTTTGCGCAGCTGAACGTGGAAGTCGGCTAGGCTAGGTGAATTCAAGACACGTGTCGTTCTGTGCCAGGCGTCACCAGTGTTGTCTAGCTGCACTCACCAGGCATTTTTGCATTAAATGTGTTACAGCATCCAAGCCCGAGTCAACCAAGCTCTTGCAGCTGTTGCCGCTCTCACTCCTTCGGCCAGCCAAGGTCAACCCTGGCTTGTGCGATTTTGGTTTCAATGTTGTCGGTCAACATCTGCGGAACAGGCGAGCTTCAGCTGTTGATGCTGCCACCCAGCTGCTGGTTACACTCCGACTTGCTCGCGGTCACAAATTCCGTTCTGTTGCTAGCCAATTGCGCAAGCTGAGGATTCTCATGTACACCGGATGCCTGGCAGTGGCATCCGAAGTTGTCTCACTCACGTCGCGATTCTGAGTTGAACATCTGCAGGTCACACTCAAAGGCTTTGAGTGCCTCCCTCCACCTCTCCTTCTAAGATGTTCTTGATTGCAAAGGCCAGGGTCCTGCGACGCCGTGGCAGCTTTGGGGCATTTCTTGCTTCTGGCATTGGCAGTGTGTCCGGCTTCAGACTCTCGACTCTTCAGCTTTGGTTGTAGCGGCGGATTGGCCTCCAGTCTGCAGCACATAGGAAGGTCCGACTCGCAGCTACTTGCATGCCAACCCATCGTTCTCTGCACAAATCCATGCTCGTGGACATCGATCAGCGTCCATACTGCTGCAGTGCTCATCTGATGTTCTATAGCCGACTTCGTTTCTCGGAGTGGCATTTCCTGACAATTGAGCTTAAGCGACTTGGAGACTACAAACAGCGTCCACACTGTGGTTTCGCAGACAGAGTCGCTGCCGAAATGTACTCTAGTTTTCAATGAAAGCAGCTGAGACTGCAGCGTCTGCGACAGATCCTGTCGTTTAGCAGCTTAGCATATCCTGATGCATCTTCTGGCCATTGATGTATAATTGTCTGAAACAGCGTTACCCGGACCCGTGGTGTTCTGACAGGGGTCATGAGGCCTGACAATTGTGATGACACAGTTCGAGGGGGAAGGGAATTCATACTGCCTGGGACAGCCTGGCATGAGCGCCCTAAGGACGCCGATGTCTTTGTTGGAGGTGCTCGTGCGCTGCTGCGGGCTCTTTGTGGCATTCTATTTCTAAATGCCAGAAAAGCCTTATCTGCAAACTTGGCCGAGAGCTCAAGGCTTTCCCGAGCTCAAATCGCAATACCACTAAACCTCAACGGACCCTGTGACCGAGGCCATGAGTGTTGCCTATGTCGTGAGCAAGGCCACGAGGAGTTGAAAGTTCACAAAACTGACCCCTACCACATCCGCTCCTTCTAAAAATTTAACCTGTCCGTGTCCGGTGGCCAGCTTCGGGCTGGCTAAGTCTTCGTCCGCTTTGCCTCGCTATGCCTCGGTTTATTTAGCTTTGTAGATGTGGGGCTGCAGTGGTTAAGGTTGACCAAAGCTTGCGTTCTGGAAAAAGGTAAAGGATATTCAAACAGTTTAACACATGAAGACAATATGACTCGAAACCAATTTTCCAGACCCCTTGCCAGGATTCATGCAGATTGAAATCTGGATATTATTCCATTTTCCACATGTTCCACTTTTTGTGTGGAGAGGGGAGGGACGGAGGGAATTGGTCCGTCCTTCTTGAAAATACGACACATTTGAATACAGTGACTGTGAAAGCATGTAACAGAAGAACATTCGATACTTTGCTAATATTTTGCCACATGCAAACTCACTTGTATTTATTTATGTTTCATGTGTTGATTGTCACCGATTTCCAGAGATTAGCTGGATAATAGAAACTTAAAGGATAGGGATTTGAGAAATATCATTCGTCCCTGATTGCTTTCGTTAGCGTGGACAGCTTCCAGTCCTACGTATGGTCTGCCTGGAAGGCGATTTCAACCAACAGCTCTGGGTGCAGCATCTTCGCCGCGGCTTGTTCGGAGGCGCTGTGCATCGTGCAGGTGATGTTTGTGCTCATCTTGGCACCTCAGATGCATGAGCAAATGCGGACCTATGTTGCCTGTCTTCTGCTGCCAGCTCAGGTACAGAAGCTGGTAGAAGAAAGTGCTTCACTTCGCATTGAAAGCGTGGAAGTGGCTGGCAAATCACAGGCCCCTGGCAGACACGCGTCGATTGCGCAATCGTACTGACATAATGCCTACGACGCTCATATCACGGAACGGTCTTCCAGTGCTGTGGGAGGCGCGGAAAAATTTACTTTCAGTTCTGGTGGATGCCGACGTCATGCTGGACTCAAGCTTGTGTGTTTGTCCCGCGATTGCAGAGAAGGTACCTTCATTTGTTGTGCTAGATTGCGCCTTCTCAACTATGTCACATTACGTCCGCCTGCCATCTAGGCCAGCCCAGCAACAAGGCTGAGCATTTCTTCGGACCAGAGCTGGATTCGAACGAAACATCTGTAGGAGGAGCAACTTCGTGGAATTCGATTGTCTTGTGCCGCGAAGCGCTGACGAGTACTTGTGCTGCTCTCGACTGGCGATTGGCTGTGGCGATCTCTCTGCTTGACAGGACTTAAGCTTTACCAGTTCGTGGCAGAGGCGGATCAATCCAAGCTCAAAGAGTTCCTCAAGCTTCCCGGTGCAATAGACACGGTGGATAATTGAGTTCCACCCGCAACAGCAAAGCGACTGCAGCCTCATGCTGGTGATGCTGATACGATGCGACTGGTGCAAAGCGCGTGGCCCCCCTCTCTCTCTTTCTCAGCTATCCAGCCTCTGCACATCTTTTGCTGCGATCCTGGGCACTGATTCTGACGATTCTGATGCTGATGCTCGTTGTGGTGGTGATAATGTAGGAGTCCTTTTTCAGGCTGCGGTAGGGCGGTAGGCTTTTGCGACTCTTGTGCCGCACCTTAGTCGAGCTACCATCAACACTGTCAACGATGGTGCCGACGTTCTCAGCGAGAGCTCCATTTCACTTCAAGGTGGAGGCAGCGCAGCCCTGTGCACAGGTTTTTGATTTGCACAGCATGATTCAAGCCTTTCGTTCAGGAAGTCCGGCCTCTTCCTTGTCGATCCAGCTGGGCTGCCTGTCTGCAGACACTATTTGTCGGGTCGTAGAACGGGCTTGGAAGCGCCAGGTCGACGCAGGCGTGCAGATGGTGGTCGCACTATATCATATCACATTCCTGCTAGCAATGTCTGCAAGATCTTGCAAATAAGGAAAGTCTGGTCGGGTGGTGCAGATCTTCCACGCGAGTGTGCCTGCGGCAGACTTTGCACTGCGTTCGCAACCGCAGCCACGACATCTCGTTGGTATCCAAGCCACTCAGCTCGAGTCAACGCTTTCTCGCCTGTCGGTTGACTCCGAGATGGAGGGTTGATGGGGGGACGTGATTATTGTAAACTTGTCGCACTCGACCGGAAGCACGGGTAACAAGCTGACAAGATAGCTCGGACTCGTGGTGTTGGAAAAGCTCCTGACCTTGCCATGCCAACCCTCTAGCTATCTCAAGCCTCAGGAGTCTTTCAGCATGTCTCGGCACGACTTCCGCGAAGTACCGGCTCTGGATGTGCCAATGGATAACAGTACTGATGCCGAGCTGATGATGCTTGATTGCAAAGACTCGTCACCGACCATCGGCCAATGGACCGCAGCTGACAGTAGTGACGCATTTGGGAGCCAAGGTATCTGTCGACTCAAAACCTAGCTGCCCAGCTGAGCTTTATGCTTGGTCAGCGCTGGTGGGTGTAGGAGGTTTCATCGAGCGAGAACTGAAGTAAGCGGGTGGTTGTGTAGGTGCTTCGAGTAGGGCTGGAGGCCCGTCCATCATATGTTCAAGTCCACAGCAAGCGATGCACTTCGTGCGATGTTGTTGTCGCAACCCGCGACAATTCAATGCAGATGCGGCTTCGGCAGCTCAGGCTGCGCAGCAACAAAGTGGCTTGCTTGACGTTCAGCACAAACGGGAGGCTGTTTCTTTGGGCCCCGTTCATTGCGTGCGATTCTAAGGCTTTGAGTCTCGACAGAAGCGGCCTCCAAGCACTGGATCCAGAGGTTCGAGAGACTCCCACGGGTCGAAATCTGCAAGCTGCTGGTCTGGAGTGGAAGCGAAGTCAGCATATTTTAGGCTTGGCTTCGGATGGGAGTCTGTGAGGTTCCGCTTCGTCGCTGCGCTCCTCCGTTGCGGGCCTCCCAGAGGTCGGCTCCATTTCCTTCATATTCAATGGCTACTCCGAAGGCTACTGGCACGGCACTGGCATGTGTTCTTATTCGGGAAACCTGTGTGATGTGTGACCCTGATGCTTCGAGGTCTGGACATTGTTGAGGCTATACTGCGCTTCGATACCTTGCACGGAAAGGACGAACCGGCGAGGGTCCCCGAAATGAAGCGCGCAGCTCAAAGACTTAGGTGACCTGCATCCTGTGATCCTTGCCCGCTAAGACAAATTGAGGCACTGGATTCGCAGCAAGTGCTGGGACAATTTCAGGAACTGGGTGCAAATGGAAACGCAGCGTTGCTGTGCTGGGGTGTCTGTTGAAGAAGTGCCGTGGAGTTTGAAAGCCTTGTGAACCTGTGAAGGTTTACGCATAGATGTGCAGTTCTGTCTTGCCGAGCATGGATCAAGGTGCGATCCTTTGAGGGGCCTCTGGAATTCTATTACCCTGGTCAGCCAGATATGACCTTGGTTTCCGGCAGTGTCAATGTCGTACGCACCTCGACAGAAGTTTACGACCAGGCCTTCCACGTAGACCGGCCCTGGTTAGAGAGATTAGAGAGGAGTTCTCGGAACAGCCCTCGTGGCCCTACGTAGGCCCTAGGCCAACACAACATAGCCTCAGGCATCCAGGGCGATGGAGACAGTGATGACGAGGAGGGAGAAGAAGAGGATCCGGTCTGTCGCCTGGCCTGGACTGACCCCGATGTTACTACCATCTCTGAATGGCTTAGCTGCGCTTGCATTGGTTGAAGGTGACCCCGAAATGTCCAGCAGCAGCCGGCGGATGGCCCCACGGACCGTAACAAGTGGGTCAGAACAGGATACTTGGAAGCAACTGTGATGACCGTCCACTCGGAAACTACTGCATCAGTGACACAGGCTGACTCTCAAAATCCATGTACTTTACTGTACGGCTGACTTGTCCCAAGGCAGGGTCTCAGTCCGCAGACAGCTTGGGCGGGAATGCCAGCCCGTTGGATCAAAGTGAAGATGAAGCACAAGTGCAGGCAACACCGGCCCGTTTACATGAGTGCACGGAGTTAAGCTTCATGTTTCAGCCGACACCTCAACTACCTAATTAGGGTGTCGGTTCGCCCCGTCCTGGTGCTCGTGTCGCAGTCCACCAGTGGCCCGAAACGCAAGGTGTATGACAACCCCCTCATCGACGGCGACGTGAACGAGGAGGCAGTGCAAGCAGAGCTTTTCTGGCTCTCTGGGTTTGATGCACAGTTTCTGTGTGCGCTAGCAGGTGGATGCTCTCTTGGTTGACGCTCGGCGGCACGGCATCTCAGTGCGGCCTGAAGGGTTGCATAGCGCGGCGGCACGGCACTGTTCTGCTTCGCCGTGTGTGACTGAGAGATGTTGAGAGAAGCGAAGCGAAGCGACAACACGGACTGCACGTTGCCACCGCCCGACATTGGCCCATCTCAGGAGGTGGAGTGCAAGGCTGGCTGCAACGTGTGCGTTGTGTTTGTCTGTTGTCCTTGTGCCACCAGGCCTTCTCACAGTATCGAAGCCTGAACAACAAGTCGCGCAAGTCTAAACGATACGGGCATCTACGGCGTCAGCCGCCCCTTGAACCCAGCTCCTTAGCACCAGTTCGTCTGCAAGTTCGAGACGTCCATTGATATGGACTAGGATGTGAGCCCAAGTCTGCATGCTGAGGTTTGGATGCGATCGAGGAGGGACCGTGATGTGCAGCCTACAACATTCGGCCATGAGACATGGCAAGAATGCCAAAAACAGTTTGGACGCCACCCTTTCACTTCGTTAGCGCAGGGCAGCTGGACCTTAAAGACGCAACTCCCATGGGCCGGTATCCAATGAATCCAGCACTATAATCATCGCGATCATTCTCAACGGACTGGCATGACACATGAGCTAGCGAGCTCGTGGCCGAACTAGTTTTACTGGTTTGAGGGCCGTGATGGCCAAGATTTCCTCCTTACAGTGTCGCACAAGCGACACTTGGGATTTCCGTGATGGCTCAGTTTAGTGATGAGGGCACACAGGCCTGGGCAACTCATACTGGTGCTCTGCATGCAAGCCACAACTATGCAACCTTTGTCGCTGCCCTGTTGCATAGAGCCTGATTTTCTGGATGTTGTGATTCAATACCTGTGTCCGACTTTTCCTGAAATCATGCAGCAATGCACGGCACGGTTTATGTTGTCGTGCTGAGGTGCAATACAGTGCGCTGACCATTCGGTAGGTCGGTGGAGTCAGAATTATGCAAGCCTTCTCGAAAAAGGGGCAGATGTTGCGTTGGATCGGTTGCAGGCTGTCGTATTGTGTTCTTGGCGAGATTTGTCGGATCTGCAGGTTTCGGCGCATCCTGACCTGGTCCTGAGGGCAAGCTTGCCATGGCCAGCACGAGCAGGTCATACCGCTCGATGGCAGCTTGTGCGGAGCTGCCGGGAAGAGTCCTGGTGAAAGCTCGGAACTCCTTGGATCATCGGGTCCCCACTACCCGGGGGCTTCCTCAGAGCAGCAAGACTCAGGCCAGAAAAGCAGTAGGATTCGATAAGCTTTTTCGCGTAAGCTCGTTCCTTATATGGCTTGCTCGTTACCACATCTGCCGCGAACGCTTCTGCAGTTCTGAAGCAGGGACTCTTTCGACAAGACAAGACAGAGCGCTACTGGTAGCATCCAGACTTATCACACACCGTCTCGCCACCAAAGCGCAAATGGGAACTATTGCCAGATGATACATCTTCTCTGCATGCATGCAGCAGGCACTACAGGAAATCAAGTCGTGCTCGTGTAGTCCGGTGGCATTATATACAGGCCCGTTCTGGTGGTGCCATGGAGAAGCGTAGGCTGCCAAGGTCTTTGGCAATTCAGCTTCTAATCGTTGGTGTAGTCGCGACACTGGCCCCAGCAGCATCCTCAGATGTCGCGACCAGTTGCTCCGCAATGAGTTTTTTAGAATTTATTTGCGGAGTCACTTCGGCCTGACGCAGTTGACACTTCCGCGATGCCCACTACAACTAGCTACGCCTATCTTTTCAGCATCGCGGGTTTGGGATGTCGCAAGATGTCGGTTAAGGCGGGTTGGCGACTGCATGTGGCCTCTGTCAAAGGAGGAGAGGCTGGCAACCGAAGGCAGCAGCTGCCAACAGAACCGCCAGCCTCACACATCCTCACACCTCACCTTTCCGAAGGCCTGGGCGGCCAATCGCTGTGGAGGAAGAGGAGGAAGAGGCCTGAGCCGAGACTTGCCTAGGAGCTTCACCTCTTCAGCGGTCAGGAAAGCATTGGCAGCGTGTTATGCAGAGCTGCCCGCCGAATCCCCGAGAAACATTGCGACCGACATCTCGACATGGTGGAGCGAACTTGCTGCCAAGGTGAGGCTTCCAATCGTTCGGGTGGAACTGGATCCATGAGCTGCGCTGCGATTATGGGAGGGGCTTGCTCTTCGTCTGCACGCGTAGCACTTTGACGGGACACGGGCATGATGGCGTGTGGACATGAGCGCTTCCGAGGGACTGCTTATGTATATCTATCCATGCATCTATGTATCATTACCTTCCTGTCCATGTGCATGTCTGTACCCGCACGAGTGGGTGATGACGTGAGAAGGGGTTACTGGAGCGAGGACCAGCCATGCCCCTGCAAGGGAGGGGAGAGAGGCCCTCCCACCCAGCTGCCCAGCCACCCACGCCTGACGCTTTTCCTCGCTCTCGCTCTCGCGCTGGCGCTTTCGCTCTCCGCGCCCTCCTCGCCCTCCCCGCCCTCCTCGCGCCCTTGCGCACGCGAGGGCCGCTCTCGTTCGCGTTCTCGCTCTCGCTCTCGCCCTCGCCCTCGCCCTCGCCCTCGCCCTCGCCCTCGCCCTCGCCCTCGCCCTCGCCCTCGCTCTGTCTCTCTCTCTCTC